ATACATTGAATAGAGCGCATATGATGTTTTGATACAGGCATCCAATGTGTATTAATCAAATCAGGGTAATTGGGGTATCCATCACCCAAAGCATTTATCATTTCTTTGTATTAGGAACATTCCAATTCCTCTCTCTTAGTTATTTTAAAGTACGCCATAATTTATTGTTGACTATAGGCACTTTGTTATGCTATCAAATATCGTTCATTCTGTCTATCTGACTGTATTTTTGTACCCGTTAACCATCCTCATTTTATCCTCCCCTCCCTGCTACCCTTCCCAGGCTCTGGTAACCTTCATTCTACTTTCTGTCTTCATGAAATCAATTGTTTTAATAATTAGCTCCCACATATGAATGAGAACATGTGAGATTTGTCTTTCTGTACTTGGTTTATTTCACTTAAACATAATGTTCTCTAGTTTCATCCATGTTATTGCAAATGACAGGATTTCATTTTTTATGGCTGTATAATATTCTATGGTGCATATATACCACAATTTCTTTATCCATTCATCTGTTGATGGACATTTAGGTTGATTCCAAATCTTGGCTAGTGTGAAAAGTGCTGCAGTAAACGTGGGAGTGCAGATATCTTTTCGATATACTGATTTCCTTCCTTTTGGATATCTGTCTAGCAGTAGGACTGCTGGGTCATACCATAGTTGTATTTTTTAGGTTTTTGAAGAACCTCCATAGTGGTTACACTGATTTATATTACCACCAATAATGTATTAGGGTTCCTCTTTCTCCACATCCCTGCCAACATTAGTTATTGACTTTCTTTTTGATAATAGCCATTTTAACTGGGTAAGATGATATCTCATTGTAGTTTTGATTTGCATTTCTCTCATGGCTAATGATGTTGAGCATTTTTTTAATGTATCTTTTCATTTGTATATCTTCTTTTGAGAAATGTCTATTCAGATCTTTTGCCCATTTTTTAATCAGATTATTTGATTGTTTCCTATCAAGTTGTTGAAGCTCCTTATATATTTTTGCTATTAATCCCTTGTCAGATAGGTAGTTTGCAAATATTTTCTCCCTTTCTGTG